CGGGAGAGGCGGAGGTTGTAGCTCAGGACAAGCATCACCTCCCCACACACACCCTCCTCCCAGTGTTCCCAGTCCAGACCGGGAGAGGGGGAGGTTGTAGCTCAGAACAAGCATCACCTCCCCACACACACCCTCCTCCCAGTGTTCCCAGTCCAGACCGGGAGAGGGGGAGGTTGTAGCTCAGAACAAGCATCACCTCCCCACACACACCCTCCTCCCAGTGTTCCCAGTCCAGACCGGGAGAGGGGGAGGTTGTAGCTCAGGACAAGCATCACCTCCCCACACACACCCTCCACCCAGCGCTCCCATCCAAACTGGAACAGAGGGAGGCCAGAACCAAGTGTCTCCCCGTGCAAACTGGGGCAGGCTGGAGCCAAGTGTCACTCGGTGCTCCCAGTCCGGAGTGGGAGAGGAGGAGGCTGTAGCTCAGGACAAGCATCACCCCTTCAACTGCTCCCATCCAAACTGGAGCAGGGACAGGCTGAAGCCAAATGTCTCCCAGTGCAAACTGGGGGCCGGGTACCACTCTGGCATGGGACCCAAAGCCAGAGGAGGCCTGACGTGAGCGCCGGCCGCGCGGCCGAGGCTCCATGACGGTGACAGGAGGCCCAGGCGGGCGGCACGGAGCAGGGTTGGTGCGCGGAGGCGCCGGCCCCGGGCGGCACGGCCTCGCTGGCGTCACCGCGCGCAGCTGCCACCGCCGCGGCTGGGGAACCACCGGGGCTATATCCCCCCCAAGGGAGCTCCCGCGCTGGGACGAGGGGCTCCACGGCCCGGCTGCTAATGAAACGTGACAGTCGCCGCCAATTATGTCAGAAAAATCACTGCGGAGGTAGCGAGCGGGAGCAGCGCAGAGCAGCGCGCAGGGGCTCCAGTGCCCGCTCCCTGCATCCCACGAGCATCCCGTGAGCGTCCCACGAGCATCCCGTGAGCATCCCCCGAGGGTCCTATGAGCATCCCATGAGTATCCTACCTGAAACCCCAAGCAGAGCCCATCCTGCAGACACCACCCGGCCCCTGAAAATCCCAGAAAGACTTTATTCGCCTCAGAAGACGGACGCTCTTTAAAAACCCAGCGTGCGGCGGCGGACAGAGCTCCCAGCGCCTGCGGGGAGCAGGCAGGAGCCC